CTGTTTGTATGAGAGAGAAGAGAGAATGAAGAGAGAGAGAGAGAGAGAGAGAGGAGTTAAAAGGTAATTATCGATCTATGGAATCTGAATGAATGGTTAGATTGAATTTCGAATCTCATCTATTTCAATGGCTCAAACTGAATGTTTACTCGCTAAAAGCGGATATTGCGTGTCACAAAAAGATTAGCAATATTTGTCAACATGTTGATTAGAATTATCATACCAAAACTTTGACCCTCAGCTGACCTTTTATATATTAAATAGCCCGACCTTACCATGCAATCACGAAAACTAATTTTTCAGGACATCTGGAAATAAATTTGTGATTTTAATGAAGCGTGAATGACCTTGGCTAACCCATTGAATAATCTCTCTCAAGAACACCTGAAAAAAAGTTCTTTTCTGCCTATACAATCAATTTGCAGTGCCATCTGACTAGAGGACATTAATATTGGACTATTGGGCCACAGATGGGTCCTGGAACGATGATACATTATTATTTTCCACTGCTAACACTAATGAAATGCCACTTGAAGGCGCATCGGTGCAGAAGGAAGAAGCATTGAGATGAACTAATTGCCGAAAATGCAATTCATCAAGTATGCAATGGCGGTGGCTTTGCGTTAGTTGGTGAAGTTAATGTTGCAAACATAATCATTATCATTATCATCAATATCTCGTTCAGTATCATTATTCCTGAACGGATTGTTTGCAATGTTTATGATCAAAATTGGAATTTAAAATTGTACTATTTGAATCCCCCAAATTCAAGTTCAGTAAAGATTAATTATTATAGTTTCATTTTTGGTTTTCATTTATATGTTATCACTATAATTATTGTTGTCGGTGTTATCATCAACTTTTGTCATCGCTGTTGTTTTAATGTAATTATACCAGTTATTCTTATTACTGATAACAGGTTGTTTCGAAATATTTCAAGGATGTTTAAGAGGGAAACCCTTTTTGTATTTGCATTTTACTAATACATTTTTTAACACCTTTTGAACCGAATACTATGATTTCGATCAGATTTCCTGCTATCATTTTATCACATTGTCATCACGTGGAATCAATACCATAATCATCATTAATAGTCGAAGCTATTAAAATTATTATCTGAAAAGAGAGAAGAAATGCCAACAGAGTGGCTCAATCAACAAGCTTGAACATGCGACATATTAAGCCTTCCCATGAGATTCCTCTTTTGTGTATTTCAATTAACTTCTTTCTTGATTAATTATTGGAATTCTTGACGAATTGCTGCGATTGACAGATACTTACATACGTTATAAAATGATAGTTAACACCAACATATCATAGTTTAGATACAGAATTAAACATATATTATTGATAACGATTATCATAATGATTAAATAGTACTAATGATAAAGAAGCGCAGCATGCATTGTACTTCATTTGCTTCATTTCCTCATTTCCTTTTTTATATGCTTCATTTCCATTATTTCAAACCCTTTTCTGGCAACTCAAATTGTTAATATTCATACTATGTTAATTATTATAAATTACAACTAAAATAAAAATCGAAAAAGACTGTGTTTAATTTCAAAAAGAATTTAGTAACGTAATTGGGTGACTTTCATGTAGAGCATGATTTCAAAGATAAAATAATTTAAAAATAGTAAATTTATAAGGAATCATGAGCTCGTGCAATAACCTTGCGTTTACTTTCAAAATCATAAAGAGTAATAATACGGGTAAATCAAAAATGGGATGAGTACAAGTCAAAGTTGTTGCAAACGAAAATTTTAACAATGCGGAATTTTGAAGTTATCTCATGTTGCAACTTCTGACTAAAATGTAAAATTTTAAATTCATTCCAAGATAAAATCAATGGTTTTGCTATTAGTTATTAATTTCGCTATTAGTTATTAATTTAGGTATTAATCCGAAAGAATTCTGATTCATCTGTGGAACGAAGAACTACAAAACTTCATGTGAAAAACCTCTCTAACTTAAAATATTCAAATTTTAGTTTTCTCAAAAAATGGGGATTTTTTAGTTACCTGAGCGGAACTATATATATATATATATATATATATATATATATATATATATATATATATATATATATATATATATATATATATATATATATATATATATATATATATAGTATACTAT